ATCTCTTACTAAAGTTATATCTCATATCAAAGATAATTACATTACCTTTTCAAAGTTGTATTACATATTGAAATGATGTGTTTTATGTAGTGTTATTTCTGAAACGAGAGTGGTCTAAAATTATTTACATCCATCCGATATAAAAATTGTTTTTTAGATCTTTTAATATTATTTAAATACATGGAAACTCAACTTTCAAAATGCTTAACATAATATCGTGTCTTGAAGTAAAAAATAAATTATTTTCTTTTTTTAAAGAATGAAATGCTGAAATTTTATTTTAAAACATATTTGGACTAGAACGGCTGTATTTAGTAGCCACTGAGAAAGGCAATATAGCAGAGCGCAGTACAACCCGCTTTTCGTCATCTTATTTACAAATGAGTGAGCAATCTATATAATTATGTATATCATTGGGTGTCTCATGAATGTCTAAGGTGGATGAATGACATTTCAAGTAACATCAAGCATAAAATAAATAAAAATAATTTTTATTATTCTCAATCTTATTTATTAATTTACATTTTTTAAATGTTATTGTAATATTTTTAAATTCAGTGTTACTAAATACCGATATTTTGACATCGTAAACGTTGGATACACTTGCTTAATGTAGAACTTTCCAATTTATTGTCACTTAGCCATTTAAATATTTTTCCTAAAAAATGTATATACCTGTCCAGATTTTAATAATTTTTCACATTTTATATCATTTTGACCATGTATACGATTGTCTGTTACGGGCCGGTATCTATATTTAACATTTAAATAAATATCCTTTATTATTTACTTGCAATGTTTACCTCATTTAATTCTAAAATTAAACACTAGAGAGGGCTAACTTCGGCAGTAGTGATGCCTCTATATTTCACGCACGGTCCCTATATCGCTTTTGTTTTTGAGTAAGGATTTTTTTAATATTTAAACCCCCAATAAGCCCCAATTTATTCAGATTTTTTCTAAATCAATATGTTTCGTCCCCTTATAGAGCTTGTATTTTTCCTGAAATTTTCAAGTTGATAAAATTTTTCGTTTTTGACTTATTGTGCGGACAAAAAACGTGATATCGGACGGACAAAGTAAACCTATAATATTCACAGACTATTGTGTGAAGAGTTTAATAATGAGCCATAACAACACATCGGAATTTTTAATCCTATTTATGTAAAAACAATCAATAAAGATCTTTAGTTCTCAATGAAATCTTTCATTTATCGGTTTAATTAGACATTACGAAGCAAACTGGCATTAAAATACTATTTTTGATTATTATTCGCTCTAATAAGCAGGCAATAGAATAATTACAAATGGTTATAACATTGGCAATTATCAGTTAAAAATAATATATAAAACTTACGTTTGAGTTTTATGTTTTTCACCTCGGCAATACAAATTAGCATATTATTTGCTTAAAACTCCATCATGACGCCAAAATCAACTGGTGGAAGATTATATATTTCGATAAATTACGATAATCCATTGGCGAAGAATCAAGGGTTATGAAAACAATTTTCATCCAAACTTTTTGAAGACCCTATATTTCATAAAAGTTAAGATTAATAATTATTTCTCACGCAACGTGTCACAAAAAGGGACTCTTGGTTGATATCTGTAGAACATTCCATTTACGAAATTTTTCAGTTTTATTCCTACTCAAACATGAAATCTATGTACGGTCGATTTCATAATGAATATTAAAATGTTCATTATCTAATATCTAATATGACCAAGATTTTATGGACTTAATGGTCCCACTAGTTAATGAACCTTTTAATATTGATTATGAAATCGACGCTTAATAAAAAATTTTGAATTTCATACTGTACCTTCATAGATTTCATGTTTGAGTAGCACCAAAACTTAACAATCTCGAAAATGGAATATCCTACAGAGATCAACCAAGAGTCCCTCTTTTGTAACAAATTGCGTGCGGAAACATTTATGAAATATAGGATTAAAATTATTTTCTTAGCACTTGATTCTACGCCAATGGGTTATCGTAATTTATCGAAATAGTGTTAACTAATAATGATGATTAACTAACACTAACAATATACTATAATTGTTATTATGTATTATATTATTTTTAATTTTAGGATAATTTTATTACTTTTATATGCCAATCCAAATTTATGTTATGAGCTCGACAGAAGTGTTTTATACGCATCCAGAGTCTCTATCAACATTATTTATTTACAAATAATTTTATACCTTCTTATACACTATTGTATTATATTGAATTCTAAATAAAGTTCTCATTATTATACATATTGTTACGCAGCACCCTGTAGCGTGCTGCAGTCGTCATAAGTAAAGGTACGAGTAAATGAAGAAGATAGAATAGTCCAGAAATGTCTTGAAATGTCATTCCTTGTCAAAGAAAAGTCCGGATTGTTCGAGAATGTTCTAGAAGGTTGATGCAAGCTATATAAGTCGACGACCTAACGTCAGAGTTCAGTTTTATGATAGACGTTAAACGTTAATGTTATCAGTTGGACAGTTATTGTTAAAGTTGAATTGTAGTTATTGTAAAAGTTGAATTAAAATAAATTGTGATACCAAAAACCTGCGTAACAATATTTTTAAGTTAAAGTCTTTACCGTAAGGAAAGATATTTAGAAAATTATGTATTTATTAAATTCACATTATCATTTTGTAGAATGAAAACTGGGACAATAGAGAGTTATTGCAAGTTCACTTAAGGTCAGTCACTATTAGTGCCGCTCTTATTTTGACATCTGAGCATGCGCAGATCACTAACTTTAATAAAATTGTGCCTGTCCTTAATAAGAGAGTTATTGCAAGTTCACTTAAGGTTTGTCACTAATAGTGCCGTTCTTATTTTGACATCTAAGCATGCGCAGATGTTTATGTTCTAAAACTGACTTTATTAAGGATTGTGCCTGTCCTTAATTGTGGATGTTTAAGGGCAGCAGGTAGTGGCGACTTTATAGATTTTGGATGCGCTCGCCGACATTCGTATCCGTTAGAAGTTTTTTAATATTAAATATTTAATATAATCGTCATTTAAACCTTCTAAAATTATAATTTCTAATGCCTCTTCAATATTATGTACTATTATAGACAACAAAAAAGATGAACTATTAGTGGCTGGCTTTATAGATATTTGCAATATCTCTCTATTAAGGACAGGCACAATCTTTATTAAAGTTAGTGATCTGCGCATGCTCAGATGTCAAAATAAGAGCGGCACTAATAGTGACTGACCTTAAGTGAACTTGCAATAACTCTCTATTAACAGGAAAATTATATTTAGTTTTTCTTAATAATTAGTTTAGATCTACAAATCCCCCAGTTTACGGTACTTTATACTGAATATTCACATTGACAACTACAAAAATTTAAATTATCAGTATATTTTAATCAGCTTTACCCCTTTTATTTAGTTGTCGAGCCACTTCATGCATTGTCCAAATTTGTTAAAATAAAGAGCACCTAATTCTATTTTTATTACATAAATGTACTTTGAAAATGATACAGTTTCTCATGGACTATTTAAAAAATATGAGTACTATTATAGCTCATTCAATAGCTGATGTTATGATACAAAAATGAGAGTGCATTGTATTAATTTATTTTAATTTTGTATATTATCTTAAATGTTATTTTACATTTAGGAATTTCACTAATATTGTTAACTTTCTGACTTATATAACAGATCAATAAAAAACTTGCAATTATGTATAAGCAAATCAATACATATGATGACATAATTCAAGGTCGCAAAAGAAAGTATGACATAGGTTTATGAAAATTTGTAGAAGGATGGAAATAGAGTAAAGTATCGTGAAGAAAAGCAGAAAGTTGATATATTGATATGAAGTTTTAAAACTTTGTATCGCCATGAAAACTATATTTACATAATAAAAATACCATTCTATATTTAATATGTATTATTATTAATCAGCAAAGAAAATTTGTATTTCGTGCAAAATTTTTATTAAAATTCGGTATTAAGCCATTTTAAGTTCTTTTTTTAACCCTTTCAGCCTTCCCTCTGCGGTTTGGGGTCCAGCATGCTTTCCCTCCTCTTGGGTGCCCTACTAATTTCCATTAATCATACATTTATTTCATCATTATTCATTTAATGGTTAAGTCCAGTGGTCACGCATTCACGACGTGACCGGATATGTGACTGCTTAACTGCCCCGACAACTCCGGCTAGCCTCTCCGGCAAAGCGCTTTCGGCATTAAGCCATCTTCAGTGCTTATTGTCAAACAAAATATATCCATTTATATCGGTTGTCGTTTTTCCAATAATGAAATATTAGAGAAACCAACCATATTCATTAAAGTATTAAAAAAAATTGTTAATTTGTTTAAATTTTAAGTAAACAAAAAAGGTATTTAACTTTAATTTAGTTTATTTAAAATGAAAAAATTAAACATTTTTAACAATTTATTAAATATGGTGATTTAACAAAGTGAGATTCTCCAATATTTCATTATTGGAAAATCGATGACACTCGATATTAGTGGATGTCTTTAGCTTCGCAATAAGCAATGAAGATGATTTAATGCCGAAAGAACTTCGCTATTTAAAAAAAAATACCAAGTTTTTCGCTGATCTAAGTTGCGTGCACACAGCCGTTAACCTCCATTATTTACTATTCAAAATCATTATGTGCTCCTATCAGGATAATATAACCGATAATAGAAATAAAAAATGTAATATAATTGCCTTTGTTAAAGAGCAATTTACAGTAAACATATTGTATGACACAATTATCTTTCTACTATTTATTTGTCAATGCAACAGAAGACAGTTTAGCGCCATTATAGATATACCTACTTAATCTTAAGTACCCCTTTAATCATTTTAATGGCAGTAATTTAATCCAAAAATTGTAATGAAACCAAAAGTGCTAAATTAAATCATTTATTTGGATTAAGAATTCATTTTACAGTGATATAATCATTCACAAAAAAAGTTTTGACTAATTAACAATAACTATTACAAGTATAACTAATTTTTGTGTGAAATTGTTTACAACAAAAATAAAAACAAAAAAATAATCATATTTTCAATAACAAAATATTTTCTGTGATTAATTATGCTGAAAACCCGTAAGATGCGGTAAATTATTGATCAACTTTTTTAATTTCAAATTTTATCCGATCAATAATCACGAATTAAGTTCACGGGCGCGGACCAGTAACCACAGCCGCTACCACCACATAACCTTCAATGACAAGCGACACCTGTCGTTAGTGTCAGTGGTTGCCGTTGGTGTGTTGAGATAAACAATGCTGTTTTTATCAATTCGCAGAAGTTTATTGATCAACACAATGTATCCGCATTAACTATAATAACTTACTTATGTTTATCTTCGAGAATTTCGAGCGCATAAATGATAGTGTTAAACTTAGACACGAAAAAACGTCGAATATCAGCGCAAATTCGTTCTGGGTAACATAGCACAAAAACCCATTTAAAAATGAGCAGACGTAAAAAAGTTAAATTGGAAATCAAAGAACCGGACGAGAAACCCAATGCGGCCGACGAGGAGAACGCAGAAAACTCGGAAAAAGGTAAAAATCAACTGCTTGATAAGAAGCTGAGTCCGGGGCCCAGCTCGTCGAAACTTGCTAAAAAAGAAACGAAAAAAGAGGACGGCCGTGTTGACGATGACAAGAAAAACGACGATCCCGATTCAGAGTTGGATGATCCTGTTATAAAAGATCTGTTTTCCGGGCTAGAAGGGGCCGCGTTTCAGAGCCGAATGCCATTCGACAAACTAACCTCAACTGAAGCAGCATGTTTTCCGGATATAGCGAACGCTGCTTTGCAAACAGTGAGAGTTTATCTAAACGTACGTAATCGGATCCTACAAATGTGGCTGGATAACCCCAAACAGCAACTAATCCTGGAGAATGTGATTGAAAAAATGGAATCGCCATATAATAGTGATTTACAACTAGTTAAAAGAGCGCACGCATTTTTAGAACGAAACGGCTTTATAAATTATGGTGTTTTTAAAAGATTAAAACCCATTCCTGTTAAAAAACATGGTAAAGTTATAGTAATAGGGGCTGGTATAGCTGGTCTTGTAGCAGCGCAACAATTACAACAATTTGGGTTAGAAGTTATAGTGTTAGAAGCCAGAGATCGCGTGGGCGGGCGTATCGCTACATTTAGAAAAGGTAACTACATAGCAGACGTAGGTGCTATGGTGGTAACTGGTTTAGGTGGTAATCCAATTACAACAATCAGCAAACAAATCGACATGGAACTGCATCGTATACGACAAAAGTGCCCCTTATACCAATCGAATGGTGTTACAGTAGATAAAGACAAAGATGAAATGGTTGAAAGAGAATTTAATCGATTACTAGAAGCCACTTCCTACTTATCCCACCAATTAGATTTCAATTATGCAGGTAACAAACCCGTCAGTTTAGGGCAAGCCCTAGAATGGGTCATAAAATTACAAGACAAGCACGTCAAAGAGAAGCAAATACAGCATCTCAAAGCTGTTATAACACTGCAAGAAAAATTAAAAACCAACCAACAAAATTTAGTGAATACTAAGGAAAAAATGACAGATATCAAAGAGCAAGTGGACAAAATGGCGGCCATAGAAAAACGTAACACTGACGAACAATTCGCTTATGCAAGCGGCATAAAAGATTTAAAAGATCTGGCCACCCAATGGGATCAATTAATGGAGCAAGCAAAGGAGATTGAAGGCAAATTAGAAGATCTGGAAAATTCTAAACCTAGTGATGTATACCTATCGTCTAAAGACCGACAAATATTAGACTGGCATTTTGCTAATTTAGAATTTGCCAATGCCACCCCTCTATCCACTTTATCTCTAAAACATTGGGACCAAGATGACGATTTCGAGTTCACCGGTAATCATTTAACAGTACGTAATGGTTATTCATGTGTTCCAGTAGCACTAGCAGAAGGGCTAGACATCAAACTAAACGCAGCTGTTAAAAAAGTCGAATACAACCACGGTGGTGTGGAAGTTACTGTTTACAATCCCAGGAACCCTTTAACTACCAACACTTATCATGCGGAAGTAGTACTTTGTACCCTACCATTAGGAGTACTAAAATTAAGTGTAGTACCATCCAGTGGACAGCTAAACACGATACAGTTCTCGCCGCCGTTACCTGATTGGAAAACCTCAGCAATTCAACGATTAGGCTTTGGAAATCTGAATAAAGTAGTCTTATGCTTCGAAAGAATATTTTGGAACCCACAAGCCAATTTATTCGGTCACGTGGGAAGCACCACTGCTAGTAGAGGGGAATTGTTCCTGTTCTGGAACCTGTACAAAGCCCCAGTATTGTTAGCGCTGGTAGCAGGTGAAGCAGCAGCTATAATGGAGAATGTTACTGACGATGTTATAGTGGGGAGGTGCATAGCCGTATTGAGGGGTATTTTCGGACAATCAGGGGTACCGCAACCAAAGGAGACAATCGTGACTCGTTGGAGGGCTGATCCCTGGTCCAGAGGGTCTTACAGCTTCGTCGCGGTGGGTAGTTCCGGTAGTGATTACGATTTGCTAGCTTCCCCTGTGATCCCGCCCAATGAACAAGGTGCTTCAGTGACTGAGGGCCCTGCTAGGGTGTTTTTCGCGGGCGAACACACTATTAGGAATTATCCAGCTACAGTGCACGGGGCGTTTTTAAGTGGTCTCAGGGAAGCCAGCAGGATTGCTGATCAAATTATTGGGAATCCCTGTAAGCCGCAACCAGCTGAATGAGTTGCGTGCTGTTATTGTGATGTGTGCCTACGCAAAATTATTTATATTTATCCAAAACTGTAAAAGAACCGAGAATATTGTATACAGGGCAAGAGTGCCTCATTAATAAAGTCACAGAGGAAATTTAATATCTCTAAAACTATTAGAAATATTTCAATTCTGTAAAAGAACACCCACCAATTTAATAGCATGAATTGTAGTCATTTACATTAGAAAATCTCAAAAAATGTACATTCTATCTAAAATAATTTGTATTCAAAAATTAATACATAAATAATAACTGGCTTTTGTACAATTCAAATAACTTTATTAGGGTCATTTGGACCACTAACTATTAAGAAATGAGATAAGCTTAAAATTAAGAAAATGTAATTTTAAACTTATCTTATTTCTTAACATCTAGCAGGGTAAATAGACCTTAGTTTCTGAGATATTTGGCTTCAGGAAACCCTGTATAGCTATATTTTGTAAAATATAAATAATATAATTTTTTATTAATTTTGACAGATAAAGATCATATCTGTTTTTGGAATAATAACTAAACAAAAGTGGTGAAAATACGAGTTGTGACTATTAAGGGTCTAATTTTGTAATTGAAAAAATGTTATCATGTGAATGCACATTTTTGAAATCAAAAAATCAAAATAATATTCAACAAAGATATATTTTTTGATTTCTTTTACTAGACTAGTCAAATGTTTGAATAAAAACAATTTATTGAATTTCTTAATTTTGTATGTAATAAAAATAATTTAATGAACTTCAATCAAAAATTTTAGCCAACAAAGGTAATGTTTTTTTTTTCTTTGGATAATTTCAATATAAAATATAGTAAAAATCAAAATGTAACTTTTTACAGAAGCGTTTTCATTTTTTACAGTAATTTTATCAATTAATTATTTTTTGTAAAAATATGTTACTTTTATTTAATGCTACATCTGAATACTCAAAATAGCAACGTCATAGAAGGTAGGTATTTTACAAAATTATTGTGATATATATTATTTAAATGTTGCATTATCAATGCACACTAAATGAATTTATAAATAAACTAGTTTAATGAATATTGCAGTTGAGTTTCATTTTATAGTAAACCCAATCAATGGCTCATATGGTTTAATTTAGGATATTAGAATCATCTAAATATTCTAAATGAAGGTTTTCTCAAATCCACATAATAGTTTAAAATTTAATGAATAATTTTTTAATACGAAAAAAAGTTCCATATGCGCCAAACCTCAAAAATTTTAATATTTTCAATGGTTATTTGCATAATGGAAAAGTTATAAGACATTTCAAACCGACAAAACTTCAAATTATGACTTTGACACCATAATTTTTACAAACCAATAAACAACAAACATTTTCTAAAACATTCTGAAGCTACATTCGTAATCAATCAAGTTACGGTTATATTCCACTGATTTTTACAAATAAATTTTAATTAAATAACCAAAACAACTAACCTAAAAAATTACAGAAGACGATGAAGACGCATGCGCTAAATTCAACTCTGTACTTTATTGCCAATGGTAAATTACGTGCCGACTTTAATGCCAGCGATTTGATTACGAATGTAACTTTACATATGTCCTCCAAATTTTAAATATTTCAAAATGGCGGAGGTACAAATACAGTCATGTCAAAGCCTCAAATTTCGACGTTAATAACATTTCCAAAATAATCAACAAATTTAAATTTAGTCTCCAACAAAAGTTTTCTACATTTCCACCAAATCCGAAACATTTTCAATTGCTATTTTTAAAATGGAGAAGATACAAAAAGAGCCATGTCAAAACGAGAAAACTTCAAATTGCGACAATGAATTTTTATTATTCAAAAAACCGCTCCATATATTTCAATTGAACCCTCGTCAAATCTTTTTCAGAACATTTTTATACAATTCTAAATTTGAAATATTACTACTAAAATAAAAGACACTTACCTTATGCCAGCCTTTAAGAGGCCACTTCCTCTTTTTGTGCAGATATCCGGTGAAGGTGTTCGGCTTATTCTCGAACCTCTGTCCGTCTTTCAGCCCCTCCATGATCTCCCATTCCGATCCTCTCCTGATCTTCTTCTTTTTTTTCTCATTCTGCTGCGCCTGATTCTGCTCCGCCTGATTCTGCTCCGTGGCGCTCTCAGCACTCAGACTGTTTGTCTCAACGCTAGCGTCTGAGTCGCTCGCAGCCACTGTGCCGCTGTTCACCACCTTCAGCTTGATTTTGTGCAGTTGGGGGCTCTTTTTGGTGTTCTCCACGGTCGCCATTGTAATGGTAGCGGTTCTGTTGGTAACCCTGCAATTGACAATTTAATTTATGTATAATATAATTAATGTTGCGGCAATGAAAATGCGACATTTGTTCAGGGGCGGTTCAGGAGAGTGTGTACACAGATATATCTTTGTATATATGAGCACACCCCCCCCTAACAACTATTTGTTCGGATGGTGTACGAAATTTTAAAAAAATGTTTATTTTAAACTGGCTTTTTTCATCTTACTGATTGAAAAAACGAGTCACTTACTCTTTACCTTATAATTTAAGAACTGGAGATGGTCTATATAATAATCTCTTGTCTGTAAAAGCTGCATCAAACTTAAAACTTTTAAAAAAAGGTTAAGAAAAGTTTACTTTTTAATTTAGTTTAATTGCAATTTATTAAATAAACGTATTTTTTGTATTAAATTCATGTATATACAGTATGGGCTAACGTACACTTTCCAATACACTGTACATGTGAAAACTACAGAGGGTTAGCATTAGTGGGAGCAGGAAACGAATAATATCAGTGGTGCCAGTTTATAAGGCCTGGCGAAGGTTACAGTTTAGTATCATCGAACATTCTACTATACACTAGACTGATGATCAGCGTTCGCCATAGGCGTCCCATAGTCGGAACATTTAGTTGGGTTTTGAGGGCCGACTTATTTCTGTGAATATTTTTAATAATCGGACAAGTGGAGCTTTAAAGGGTCAAACAAAACGGGTCTTCAGCTTACAGTTGCAGCAGTCAAGACAAAAATCACCCAAATTGGAACTCTTTCACCACGAATATCGCAAGCCTTTAGTAGATTCCATGCCAAAACAAAACAAGCTGCTATTGCTTCAAGAGGTGAAGTTGCCTATTATTAATGATCTATTTAAGTCAAGGGATTCAAGTGCATATAAATATTTGTCAGCAAACTTGTTATATATTTTTACTTTCCTCTCTGTATACAGATATAAGGAAAGTATAAGTATCATGATTTTTTCGACGGATTTTTACGTTTTGAGGTCCCCTGAATCCGTTTTGACTATTTTCGCGATGATGTGTGTGTGTCGGTATCCACCATAACTCATGAACTGATACACAGAAAAACACCAAATTTTAAACTTAAGCTTTATTCCAGCGTCCAATGAAATAATTAGATTTTGGGCAGAGTCGGAACATCTGGGGGGGGGGGTACTTTATAGGTGGTTATTTTTATATTTTATGGAATATATGTTATTTATGTTTGGAGAAGAAAATTGTTCAAATAAAAGTTACTTCTAATATTATTATCTATAATTTTTACTTTATGTAAAAATTTCCTGAAATGGTCCGTATTCGAGAAATTTGACAAAATGTGCAAAATTCTGATTTTTATGAAAATTGTTGAACTAAAAGTTGTTTGCGATATCGATCTCTATAATTTTTGTTTATATATGATTTTTCTAAAATGGAACGTAATGGAAAAATTGCAGGAAAAGTGCTAAATTTAAATTTTTCAGTATTTTCGTTTTCAATGAATATCTATAGAAAAATGTTTCGAGGTAGATGTATGTGATATTTAGTATATCCTCTAAACATTTATAGAAGTGCTGCAATAGGTTGTACAAAATAACCGAAAAAAGCCTATAATAACTGGATAGGAAAGTCATGTGTTAAACACATCAGATTTTTAGTTTTGCTATGTAGTTATTAGGTTCAGGCTTTATGTTAAACAGAGAGTATGTGGTTCAATTATTCAATTGGGAAGACAAAAAATAGTTTAAAATAAATAAAATTGTTTAACATTTCGTAAATCATCCATATAGGGCTGGTAGATTCCTTGTTTAACAACTTGCTAAAATGGTTTTTGCATAAAATATATTGTTAATAATGAAACAACCTTTTCCATTTATAGAAAGATGAATTTCCTTAGCCCCACGTTTCCTTTAAAACCGACTCTGGTCATATTATATGCGTTAATTGTTTTTTGTTATCTTTTAAAGTGCAATTTACTTTTTGCGTTTGGCCTAAAGGTGGTTAATGTTACCTCGATATCTGTAATTAAAACATGTTGATTAATGCAGTAGAATTATCCAGATAGTTAATTTCCAACAACTCAAATGAAGTGAAACTATTTTATCATCACAGTTAAGTAATTTTTTAGTAAAGGATTTTTTACATTATTGTTTTATTTATTCATTGTGTAGAAAACTATAAACAAAAATACTATATTATAAGAAAATTATCTAAATAAGTGTATAATTTGAATTATAATTATGTATGTCTAATAATTATGGAAACATTAACACAGTTCTGATGATTTCATCTACTTCTGAAATTCGTTTTAATAAGTTTTTTCCTGCAGAAGTTCCAAACATGATTCAATGAAAGTCACTATTTTTAAATTGTGCATGCTTAAAATGATTTAGAAATTGAATGAGCATGCTTAAAAGTTTAGAACCTGATACTGGAACAAATGTTCCCTTCTAATAATAATAGTCTCCCTAATCCACCCCCTTATGAGTGAATTTTAACCCCAAAAGCTGAGCTTGTGGGGGGAAAGGAACGGCTATTATTATTATTATTATTATTTTCCGTGGTGTTCCGGGGCGACTTAAAAATGATTGATGGTGCCATTTGACTTACAGGTGAGGAAAACCTCACCCACCATCATCGAGACGGTAATGCATGGCGATTTTATAATCTGCATGTCATATCAACAGAAATTGAATTTCTGTTAATATGGCACACATCAAATCCTATACCGAACCATGCAATTTAATTAAAAATCCACATGATTTGGTGTAGGATTCGAAGTCCCTCTGTCTCTGACCACAAACTTGCCTATAAATGAATATAAGTGCGTGAGACCATTACACCACCAACCCGATAAATAATAGGCTTTAACTGCATCAACATTTTAGACAAATACTCGCACCCATCAAATTTTTATATTTCTATCATATGTCATTCCCCTCCTCTTTGTCACTCTAACTGATATAATTTAAACAGTGAAAGTACCAAGTATGACCACATCATTGAAAATGTAATTTTATTGGGAATTCAGACTATTCATTGCATTGCTTTTGATTTGAGCTTTTATCTGGATAAAAACTATTAAATATTACATACTGAGATACTTTATTTGAAAGGGATTTTATTAGTAATATATGTCAAGATATTTAAATAGTCAGAAAGATGATTTTTGTCCCATATCTAATAAAAAATATAATATAAGAAATGATTATAAATGTCTCAAATTGTTTTTATATCATATGAGGACAAGGCAGCATTAATGATGAGTATTAATCACAGCACTAAATGAAATTTAAAGTAAACAAAAAATTAGGAAACATATTTTAAACAATTCTTTTTGGAGGCTCATGTGAAAATGAGGCAACTCATGTTTTGCCCCATGTTACAGGGGCGAGTCAATTTTTTTTATGATAAAAACCTACTTTTTTATATATTTTCCTATTATAGTGAAATTAATGCAGGTGGTCTAGATTGTAGAAAATTTATTGCGTTTATTAGAAATCATCAAAAAAATGTGAAAATCGTCAAACCAAACCCAATAATTTTTGACCGACTTCAAAAAATGAATATTTTTTTTAACCTATTACCTATAAATAAGCAACTAATAAATATTCATTTTTCTATTACCATAAAATATCATTATTTCAAAAATAGAGGAAAGTATTGTGTTCACAACTCATGTTTATTTATTGTTTTAATAAGACTAAAAATAGACCCATTATATAAACACAAATATTTACCAAAGTACTTTTTCAAAATCACTAGGTATCTGCATTCCCTAGTAGGAATACAATAATTTCCCTATTCCTAAATAACCAAATGACAAAGTAAAAAGTGCATGAAAATAATATTTGAACCATAAATTACTGGTTACTATAATATAATTATTTTTTAACAACCATGAGCAAAGTCAATAAGTCAACTACAAAAGGATGTATAAAATTGTCAAGGCTTTCAATACAGCACCAATTATGCAATAACAAATTAATTAAATATATTAAAGGGTGTAAACAAATCTAGATTGGGCTTTAATTTAAATTACGTTCAAGAGATTTCCTTTCCAACAATTGGGTTAAACATTGGTAACGATTTTTTCTCAAGGTTATGAAATCAAGTTATTTATGCAGATAACAGGGCTATTAAAGCGTTAACAAAATTTCGGGCATCACTATTGACGAATTAAATCATCATTACGTTCATTCTAAAAGTTGTCTTACCTCAAATTCGATTATTTTTACACGAAATTTAAGAAACAACCAGTTATACACATTTGCAGTTCGTTCGAGTCACAACGCGATTTTGATCTAAAAAAGTGTTAGAACAAATAAATAGTTAATCCCGAAATTTGCATTTTAATTAAGTTCATTATTCATTTTCGAATGTTGATGTCACAGTCGTTCGCTTTATTAAATGATTGTAAATTCATGTACATATCAAATTAAACTACAACTTGTTTTTTATTTGACAACTCGCAGCTCGCTGACAGTGTCAGAGTCAGAGATGTCATCTGTTCTCTTCTTTTTACTATTTATAAGGTTCTTTCGTTCGTCCCACTGGTGTAGGAATGAACTACACCAACTTACACCAAACCTTTCGTTTGGCCCGGTGTAAAACCCACTATACCTTCCTGTCGGCGATATGGTGTATACTGGTGGATATTTTCTCCACCAGCTATTTAGCAGGAGTGAATTACACTCGACGATGTGTATAAGGAATAAGGAGGAAGTACATTAGGGTAAATAAATTGGTGTAACTGGTGTAAACTACACTGGTGGACACTACACCAATAGCGAACGAAAGAACCTATAACTTACCTTTTACTTTTATATAGTTCCGTATTTATAAACAGAACTCAGCTGAGTCGGACTTGGGTCCGTATTTATAAACAGAACTCAGCCGAGTCGGACTCATAGATAAATCTATGGTCGGACTTGGATATGGATAAGTCCGTCCTTGAACTAAAATCGAAGTTCGGTTACAACTGCTCTAACGTTCCAGGTGGTTCCGGTATTACACTGGAATTTAGAAATGGATATTAGCAAATCTGTAACTGTTATGTACATTTAGGAATTTGTTACTACCCATCTCTAAATTCACGCGATATAACCGAACTTCGATTTTCGTTCAAGGACGACTCAGCCAAGTCTTAGGCCCGTATTTATAAACAGAACTTACGTGAGTCGGACTTGGGTAAGTCGTCCTTGAACTAAAATCAAAGTTCGGTTACAACGTCTCTAAAGTTCTAGGTGGTTCTGGTGTTAAACTGGAATTTAGAGATGGACATTAGCAAATCTGTAACTGTTATGTACATTTACGGATTTGTTACTACCCATCTCTAAATTCACGCGATATAACCGAACTTCGATTTTCGTTCAAGGACGACTTACCCAAGTCCGACTCAGCTGAGTTTTGTTTATAAATACGGGCCAATGAAGTGGAGAGGAGTAGAATGATAACTGTCAATGAAAAAGTCTGGACACTATGCACAATTTCGTTTTGCACATTTTGTAAACAAAATTCAGGGACGGTTTAACAACATTTTGTGCAACAATTATAAAATAGTGCATCGAAAAATAATTAACAAGTATAAATCGGAATAAAAGCATAAAAAAACATAAATATAAGCAAGATAACAAAGAATTGACGCCAAAAAAGCTTACAACAGCCAAAACACAAACAAAAAACAGAGCTGAACATGAACATAATCGCTGAATAAAGTCGATCCTGGAATTTGTTTACAGTGCTTTAGGGCAACCTCTCCTTGTCATTTACGTGTGTAAGAGTGGAAAGCTGAATCACGCATAACTTCTACACTCGTGATGGATGCGCAGACGGTACCTTATCGTTCTACCCTCTCTACTTCTTTGATACGGGCCTAAATATTTTGAATAGCTGCTCCAAAAATTTGATATGTTTATCTTAACCTTGAGAGCATCGAGCTGTCTACTCTGCAGTTGATCAAAAAGTATATCGCAATTTGACTTTATTTTGCTGAAGAAAAATAACCAGAAACTATGAAATCTGTCTTTCAAAATTTATCAACCCTTCAGTCTGATTAATAGTTTTTTATCGAATTCTGTGATCATAATTTCTTCAAGACATTTAATCAAATCCTCTTTATAAACATAAATAGTATTGACACACTTCAATGTAAAATTCCATCGTGTAGGAGCATTTTAAAGCATACGACTCTGAATAAAAGGTGTTCGGCAATTTAAAATCTCCCAGCGAAAAATTTCTCTTTTATATTTTCAACTAAGCCTGGAATTTTCAACGCATACCTTTTTGAGATGAGAGCAAAATAGAATTTGGTCATCCTTGCCAAAAATTTGCGAAAATGTACACCATTCAATTATTTATAAGACTATTTTTTATACTCTTAAATATACAAACAGAGGTTTGAAATCCTCGAAAAAGTCAGACAAAACCAAAAGAAAAATTAAAATTTTGTCCCATTTATAAATACTATTGATTTTTTTTTTCATCATATTTTTGACTGCTTTATAAAAAAAAAGTTATTTTTCTTTGTAGTTTTATTTCTTAACTATTCCAATGATCCAACTAACGTTTTTTCGTAATCACAATAAATAAATTATTATCATGGTCCAACAAACGCACACCTTAAGCCGAAACCGGCATCACCTTTGTGAGGGAGCCGGTAACGATGCCGCTGCGTACATTCGTATCTGGTCTAAGTAATCTGTGCCATGGGTTCAGCACGTCACGATAAGGACAGCGCCCCGCTTGTGACGTATAATCCATCGCATGTATTCATCTCTTGCTAAGCGATATTGTCGTTGTCCTGGTTTTTCGCATCATAATGAGAGAGAAAACAACAGAGGCACACATTTACTGTGCCCATCTTCCACTTAATTTCGGTATTCTCGGAACGTTGTTCAACGCCCGGTCGTCCAGTGTCATGCCAATAAAATAGGCATTGAGGAAAATATAAAATACGTAAGTTTTTTTTTTTGTTTATTATACTAGGGCACGTGCCCCTCAGGCCCTACTCTCGCAAATAAAAATTATATTGCCATTTGTATATGTATGGTAAAATGATTTATAATTATAATATAATATAATTATAATATAATATAATATAATATAATATAATATAATATAATATAATATAATATAATATAATATAATATAATATAATATAATATAATATAATATAATATAATATAATATAATATAATATAATATAATATAATATAATATAATATAATATAATATAATATAATATAATATAATATAATATAATATAATATAATATAATATAATATAATATAATATAATATAATATAATATAATATAATATAATATAATATAATATAATATAATATAATATAATATAATATAATATAATATAATATAATATAATATAATATAATATAATATAATATAATATAATATAATATAATATAATATAATATAATATAATATAATATAATATAATATAATATAATATAATATAATATAATATAATATAATATAATATAATATAATATAATATAATATAATATAATATAATATAATATAATATAATATAATATAATATAATATAATATAATATAATATAATATAATATAATATAATATAATATAATATAATATAATATAATATAATATAATATAATATAATATAATATAATATAATATAATATAATATAATATAATATAATATAATATAATATAATATAATATAATATAATATAATATAATATAATATAATATAATATAATATAATATAATATAATATAATATAATATAATATAATATAATATAATATAATATAATATAATATAATATAATATAATATAATATAATATAATATAATATAATATAATATAATATAATATAATATAATATAATATAATATAATATAATATAATATAATATAATATAATATAATATAATATAATATAATATAATATAATATAATATAATATAATATAATATAATATAATATAATATAATATAATATAATATAATATAATATAATATAATATAATATAATATAATATAATATAATATAATATAATATAATATAATATAATATAATATAATATAATATAATATAATATAATATAATATAATATAATATAATATAATATAATATAATATAATATAATATAATATAATATAATATAATATAATATAATATAATATAATATAATATAATATAATATAATATAATATAATATAATATAATATAATATAATATAATATAATATAATATAATATAATATAATATAATATAATATAATATAATATAATATAATATAATATAATATAATATAATATAATATAATATAATATAATATAATATAATATAATATAATATAATATAATATAATATAATATAATATAATATAATATAATATAATATAATATAATATAATATAATATAATATAATATAATATAATATAATATAATATAATATAATATAAATAATAATAGGGGGTGAGTGGCTCAGTGATAGAGTCTCTGCCTGCGGATCCAAGGGTTCCAGGTTCGAATCCCACCGTTGGCCGGGATTTTTTCATTTAATTTAATTATTTAAAATTAATTCTGATGCATTGGTCAGTATTGTTCTTGGTTGTACAAAATGTTGTATAATTGTACGCAATGTTGTACAATTGTACAATATGTTGTACACAATGTTGTACAATCAGTTACCTAGGTGGCTGTAATGTTGCATGCACTTCTGAAAAAAGGCGGAAATGTATAATTTGAAATTGCTAAATATTTATGTAAAATCTGGTATATAAACAGCTTTCTTCTGCTCAAAAATTCTATAATTCGTTGTATCGTATGTATTGAAATGAATAAAAAAATTAGTTAAGCATCCTTTAAAACAGATCATTCTAGTGCTGAATTGCGTTCTTATAAATTTGATTTATTTTTATTTTTAGTTAATTTAAATCGAATTCTGTGAAAACGAACTCGAAAAATACCAGAAACATGTGAGTTTAAACCACATACTTTGATTATGTGGTTTAAACTATCGATGTTTACTTAAAACAATCAATAGTTTTCGATAGTAACAATCCGACCACTACTATTTATACTATTTAAACGTAGTCGGGATAGTAGCTACGTCATTTTTAACGCGACGTTGTTTTGACCTTGACCAATATTTTATATTGATTTATTTCGAGTGCATTTAGAAATAACGCAAGGGTAAAGATACCTTTATTGAGTTATTTGTCTTAAAGTAATTATTCACTTTTAGCCAAATAGTTGCAAAAATCCGAATCTTTTTCATGTGTAATTACAATTTGGCAACGTTTTTCTTAACGTACCACTATTTTGACATGATCAGTGACAGTGACACTGACAGATAAAAAAAATCATTTTCCATTTCGTAAATCCCGTAAATCTACTGACCAACCTGCAACCTCCCTTCATGTCGCAGTTCCAATACGATTATGCAGTATAAAAACCAGCAGCTAGTTACTAATTAATTATTGTGTATAACAACAACCGTTAAAACCTACGATGCAGTGATACAAAAATCGACGTCGACGCATAAAAATAAATTCCTGAAACCGTACCTGCGGAACGTTGGTGTATTTCAATATGTCAAAGTATTTTTCGGTCAATCAACAAACAAAATTCAAGCGGATCACATAAACGAGAATTCGAATTATTGTAAATAAAGAATCCGTAATTATGCCAGTAGTACCTTTGGAAAGACTACCTTTGCCTAATTTGAAAGTGTATTCTTTCGTGAGTGTTGTGGCGCTTTCGGCTTGTATTTACTATGCAGCGCAAATTATTAAGGAGCCCAATTGGAATTATCCCACCGAGTTTGATAAAAAGGATTCTGGCAATGCAGCTGGGGCCCGAAATACAACTGATGCTGATGGAAGGACCGTGGGACAATTCGTATCTGATGTGTTTACTGTTATGATAAGGGAACCTGTTTGTGTATGGGTAAGTTTTCCTAATTTATATTTAATACATTAGTTGTATATTATTTTTACCTATATTGGTGATAATATGGCTACAATTTTCAGGAAATGTCTAATTTAAGGTGAGAGTTTAATTGCCTTTAATTTTATTTTCTAATTAATTTGAAACTACAAATTAAAGAGCTAAGATTTTGTAGACGTTTTTGAAATAAATCAGAACAGTTGCTGACGCCAATATAAATAATGTAACTTTGATAATAATAAAAATAAAATTTTAAACAATTATAAAAAAATGTAATATGATTTTTTCAAGGGGTCAAGCAAATACTCTATTAATAATCAAATACAATTACCTTGAAACCAATTCTCAAATCAATGTAATAACAGAGAAAATTGAGAAATAAAATATAAAGCTAAAATTTCAAATAATATACCCGCCAAACCCTGTTTTACCAACTTTTTAGTTCAGGCACTCCTATAGATCTGAAAACAAGCAAGTTCAATCATTACCAACCATTTTCGATCATTTAACACGTGCATCATTCGGAGTAAAGTTTTGATATGTCTAAACTGCAAACAGAAGACGAAATAACATGGGTTTCAAATTCACAGGGAATTAAATTTTGGCAACACTGACAATTCGTTCTTTGCACGCTGTATTTGTAAATTAACATCCACATAATTATCTTTTATACGAAATCGTTAGAAAATGATTTGTATGATGGATGGGCGATTAATTTGTCAGGCGGTTGACTGTGTTTATTTATTTTTTTCATTATTTAGGTAATATAGAAAGGTAGCTAAAATGGCTTGCATATTAAGTATTTTGAAATGATTTATTTTTAGATTTTCTTGTTTTATTTCACGGAGCTGTGACATGATTTTGTTTAATTTTCTTAAAAACAGTTCGAGAAAAATTAGAATTAGGTATTATTAATTAGGTACTGGATTTTTATTTAAATTAACTAACTTTTTAAAAATTGTGAATTTATTATCGAGGAATCGCAAATAGAAATCCGAAAAATACTATGGCTCAGTAATTCTTTTCTGCAAATTTTATTAGTTAATGATGGATTTTTATTCAATATATAAAAACTTGAAACAATTCTTGCATTTAAGCCTCTTATTAAAAACAAGAATGTAAAAAAATATTGGCTCTACTTGATGTGAGAGTCGCCTAAAAAATGTTGTTTGCACCTTGGCCGTATGATAATTTTTATCCTAACCAGAAGTTGCAAATTTATAATTCGGCCAAAAAAGATCAACTTTACGGCCTTATTACACAAATAACTATTTTGGACGGTTAAAATGAATGTACTTATTTCTGTTGCCTACCAATATACAGTGAGGACAAAGGGATACATTAATTTTCTGTCTCATTAATAATTAATTTTTAAAGACAATTCTCTAACGTAAATTTTTATTTTTGAATGCGACAGTATTTCAATTAATTGTATAGGTACCTACTTTTTCAAACCCCTTGAACTGACAACTACCGCCTTTTAATTTTTAAATGAAATGAGTGATCATGTCATACCTCATTTTAAAGGGGTTATTACTCATTCCAGTAATAGAAGTTTTTTAAAATTTTGTAATTTTTTTTTATGAGGAAGCATAACTGTAAATCCAGCAAATCTCCTTAAAATAGCTGAACATGTTTTAGAATCTGAAAAATTATTTCATTTTAATTTTTTTTTTTATATATATATAATAAAATACACCATGTAAAACTGCTTGTTAAAAATTAGAAAAATACAAACAAAAATCCTTATGTGACTGAATAAAGAATTAAAAACTTTTTAAAATGAGGTATCAAATCCCTCATTTTATTTAAAAATTTAAATTGGTTGCTGTCATTCCAAAGCGGTTGAAGCAAGAGGTACATAATTATGTTAAAATATAGTCATTTTAGAAATCAAAATTGACCTGTTTCAGCAATTTAAAGAAGTAGTTAGCTGGAAATTTATAATTTACTTACTCTATTAAATTTACAATGTCCTGTTTATTGGCTGTTTTTAACAGCAACGATAGTGTATATCCGCGTTCTCGCAACAGTTAAGCCGTGATATCTCCAGTCACGTCGTGGATGATTGTCGGCTGGGACGATTACCATAGGCCATGCCACCATGTGATTTAGTCAACAAGCGTTTAATTATCGACGATGTGAAATTAATAACGGTGAATGAGTAAGTAATTGAGAAAGTAGTGGGACGTTCAAATGGTGGTACAATAAACTGCAAGCTGCAGTGACACCACGCTACAAATGGATTAGGATAATACTATGGAGGGTCCAATGGGTGTAAAATAAAATAAAACGGAACCATTCCTAGCATTCATTTTTCAATTTCAAGCTCATGTTTTTTTGTTAATATGATCAAATTTATCACCCTCAGTTCAGTAATATATCATATTGCTTTTTTAGGCTGTATTTATATGGCCAAATTGGTAAAAAAAAGGCTGACTTAACAATGTAAATATTTTACTATGTAATACAAATTTAATTTCTTATTTTTGTAGGCGGTAGTTTAAATCAACCTCTTGTCAAACCCATTAGAAACAGGTTAAATGAGTCTGTTATTTACAATTTTGACCAATACATCGTATAATATCTTTAACATGAAGTGAAAAATGTATCATATTAAAAAAAGTGTGGTGGCGTGGTTTGAAACATAAATGATAATGGTGGTTTCTAGCAGGTTTCTAGAGGTTGATTTGGGTTCATCAGGTAAAACACTTTTATCCCTTTTAACAGTTATCCAGAAACATATGGGACACCTGGTATATACATTAATGTATTTAAGTATACTATTGTTTAAATTTGGTATTCCGTGTGATTCGAGTTGTTCTTTTAGCGGTTTGTTTCATGACATGCCGAAAAAAAAACATATTTTTTGTTGAAGAAAATTGTATCCTCGGTTTCAAAGCGGTAACGCTATATAGGTATACCGCCGACAACAAAAAAACTAAAGCGGCCGCCAAAATGGGTTTGAACTATCCGGCACTCGCCGCCAAGTGTGCCTCGAATTTAGTTAGTCATATAAGAATTTTGTTAAAAAGAGATAAATAGATAGGCACATAAGTTGTATTAAACAATAAGTCAAATATAAAGGAATACCGCAAATGCAAAAGAGGTCGGCCACTGCTTGAAGTACTTGAAAAAAATTGGTGTACAAAACGAATTGTTAGCGGGAAGTCAACTAGCTAAAAACATCAACAAATCGACCTCTTTAATTTACCGCCCATAGACGGAGATATATTGTTTTATTTAAAATGTTATTAGTATATTTATTCATCATTGAGTCAAAAATATACTTGATTTCAGCATTGAATAATGATTTTTTATTTCACTTATTAATTAATATAATTAATCTTAGAAATTGAAATATGTTAAATATGTTTTTTTTTTAAATGAGCCTATCCGACATTTATTCTTAGTAAGTAATAAAAATTTTCTTCTAATTTGTCTTACAAAATAACATTTTTTGTAATCTAAAGTGTCCAAATAAGCCATACCTACTGTAAGTAACTAGTTATATAAATTAAACTGGTTGTCATAATTATGTTCATTATTGAAAAAGAAAATAAATAAAAAAAAACATGTTTGGTATTTAAATTAATATATGTATAGGTACCTCTATTGCTTTTGAAAAGTATATATAGAAAGAACGAAGATTGGTTATATAAAAATACATTTGGACAATGTGCTAAGGTACAATTAGTAATAATTCAAGTTCATTCGCTATTTTAAAAAGTCATCCTAAAACTGAACAAAATAATCGAAACACTGTTTCACTCAATACAGGAGAAAAAAATTAAAATATCCCTAACTACTATGCAAAATAACCCATTTTCTTGACAAGAAAAAAGAAAACTGTTTGTGATGATAAATATTTAAATATTTTAAAAGTATCAGATTGGTGTGAAATTGACTATTATTTCCAAATATTCATTTTCTAATATCTTTGATTGGAAGCACAAAAAATTATCGGTTAGTCATTTTTTTCCAAGCAATTCTATAAATAGAAAAAAATTAAACAAACTAACCAATATTTAAATAATAAACACACATCCACATCACGACGCCACTGGCTCTTCCTAATTTCTTCTGCTTCTACATGTTGTAAACGACCAGCTCGTCTATACAGGTTAATCTTAGCAAAGTAGAGAAAGATAATGAATAATTGGAATACTGTACCTATATTTCGTAGAGTTAGATCATGTTGTTTTTAAATATTTTCGTGGTATAGTAATGTCAAAAAGCATCGTATAATCAATACGCCCGGTACTCACTCCTTTTTAAAAATATATTGAGATATAAAAATATAGTAATTTTTTTTTGGAGCATCTTCAAAATATCCTATTAATATTATCATGTAAAACCTAATGCTTGTCGCAATTAAAAAATACACCAGTCCTTTACATTGGCCTGGCATACGGGTATATTCTGTAACAATTCCTTTATATTTAACGGCATTTAAAAATATTGGCGGCCTATAAAAATATGTTCGTATTCGTTAATTTACTTCTGTCATTATTTAAACAGATTTCTTTAAGATAGTCCTCTAATGTATTTTAAAGATCCGTTTAAATAATGACAGAAGTAAAGAAGAAAATATTTTTAAAGGCCGTTAAATATAAAGGAATTGTTACAGAATAGACCCCATATAGTGCTAAAGTTAAGCCTTAGTCCCCTTCCATTTCTAAATTCCGTTATTTTTAAAACAAAGATGCATTTTAATAAAATATTTTTGTGCCAATACTATTTCTATTCCTACGAAAAAAAAAAGACATATCGGGATTTATAATATGTATCGGCATCACTGCAATATATCCGTCGTGTCCACAAAATGCGTTTATCTGCAAGTCAGTAGCAGAAGCTTCTGTTCAAATTAGGGCAAATAGTTTGGAGAACGTTTTTAGTTTATCGCTGTTATGACGGGTTCGAATATAAGATGTAACGGTTCCCGATCGCCGATGAGATCGTATTAAACTGCCGCCTTAAGCTCTTTTTGATTACAAAAA